CTTTGTGAACCTCCGTGCGCAGATCTCGTGGCAGGCACAGCACTTTGTGAACCTCCATGTGCACTGTGTGCGGCGCTTGCTGCTTGCCGAGGGGTCGGATGTACGCCCTGGCGTCGGCTGGGCACCGGCGCTTGATGTGCAGATTTCGTGGCAGGCGCAGCGCTTCGTGAACCTTCATGCGCAGATTTCGTGGCAGGCGCAGTACTTTGTGAACCTCCGTGCGCAGTTTTCGTGGCAGGCACAGCACTTTGTGAACCTCCATGTGCAGCTTGCCAAGGGGTCGGATGTACGCCCTGGCGTCGGCTGGGCACTGGCACTCTGCCGGTAGCATTTGCGTGCTGTGCGCGGCGCTTGCTGCTGGCCCAGGGGTCGGATGTACGCCCTGGCGTCGGCTGGGCACCGGTGCTTGATGTGCAGATTTCGTGGCAGGCGCAGCACTTTGTGAACCGCGCGGCACTGTGTGAACCTCTATGTGCAGATTTCGTGGCAGGCACAGCACTTGTGAACCTTCATGCGCAGATTTCGTGGCAGGCGCAGTACTTTGTGAACCTCCGTGCGCAGATCTCGTGGCAGGCACAGCATCTGTGGAGCTGGAAGCTAAGAAGTGGCGACTTTGTAGAGCAACTTGAGTGTGTGCGGCGCGTGCTACTTGTCATATACACAAGCTTTTTGAAGGAAAGACTACCACCGAAACCGGAAGATCATGCTCAATAACACCGTATTCGAAGTCAAGCGAAAGCAGACCATCTTTTCTCACAATAATTGCATTGCAGTGCTTCGACATTGCCTGTGACTGTGGCTGCCACATAAAGCATCTCTGCCTTATCTTCACGCGCGCAAAAGTCTACCAAAGGACATTTCGCTTCGGACTCGTTGGCCCCATCGAGATCCACGTCAGAATTCTGATCCTTCCGTATACCTTTGGGTGTTTCATCCTCCTCTTCTTCTTCTCTTTCTTCTTCAAGCTCCTGTTTGGAGCTTTTCAAAATTCGTACCATGCCGCCTTTGGGCTTGCGCATGTTCTGCCCAAGCCAATGCATTCCACTGTGGATGATTTCTGCTGCCTCGAGAAAGGGATGCTCCATTCGCCCACCAAAATGTACAGCAGC